AAACTCGGCATTGTTGTCATAGCAACATGGCGCGTCTCTAGCCAATTTCAGCTGCACAAGCTACAAAATAACTAATGAGGCGTATTTAACACATTAATAAGACTGTAGCGACATGCCTATAGGTAACAGTATACATGCTATGTGTACACTTCTTCATTTGGTTACAACACAAGCACAAGTGCTTAAAATAGTAGAAAACCACAATGGTTTACTACGTGTGATACTGGGAGTAGCCATCTTGGTAACTGAACTCGGGGTCCTCTGAGTAGTCCGACTTCACGAGTCGTTTTTCCGACCTCGGGGGCGTTCTTTTTGCAACTTCCGGTCCGTTAACTCGGAAAACCGACTCGGAAAACCGAGTTCGTTGGACAAATCGAACGCGGCATAATGCTTGTCAGTACTGTCTATGCCGGTACTCGGTAGGTACTTCAAGATGGCGCTAATAAGCTGGGAAAAGGCGGATCGGATGACGTAAAAGGTCACGTGACTGATATTCCTCGAGTCAGAGCAACTCGGGCGGTCGGTTTCCGAGACAAATGGAAAGCACCATTACCATGGATGTGTAGGACCTGTCTGTCCCCGGTGGTAATGTAACTCACAGTAGATACAGCTTCAATAGCGCTATGCATCCGTCTGTTTAAAAGCACAGGCACCGACGCTGAAAGCGGCGGAGGAGCAGCTTTCTAGCCGCTCTGCTACAGCACATACATGATACCTAACTGTTAGCTACACTGTTAGCTAGCATCTTAGCAGCTGTGCCGTCCGCCTCAAGGCATCATTGGGTCCTGCTCATAGGCGGTAGATAGTCTATGGTACTACAGAGATCAGCAGAATGACCTCAGCCTCTACTAAAGTAAGTTATTGTTCCACATGAACCAGTAAAATTAAGTTTGTCGCCACAGAGTGAAGTTAGCCCGGTCTGAACGGTGTCCTATTGCTTGTACACAAACGCACGAGTCCCTCAGTGCGTTTGTCGCTGCTGCTCGCGGGAACGGAACGTTATAATATCAGACACCGGTTACTGAGAGAGGGATTCAGGAGAGGTTTAGATCAGTTGTTTGAGAAAATATGCTTCCCAACAACTGATTCTATTTGGTTATTTCTTTACCCTGAATTAGTCCTCAACTGTAATCAGTTTTAAAGTTTGCGGTCACGATAGATAGATAGATAGATAGATAGATAGATAGATAGATAATTTTGAAGTGGACTAGCAGGTAAACAGGTGTTACCAATGATACTGATTAAGGTTCCGATCTATTCAGGTCAAACGAGGTCAGGGTATTGCTTTTGAGCATAGCTTAATGGCATAAATGGAACAGACCCTTTCTAAGCCCCGCCCCCTTAGGTACCCGGTTAACGCTCTTATACTTATGCTAGGGGCTAGGCTAGTCTAAAATGGTTAAAAGATAGGTGCGACATACAGTGTATATTCACATCTGAAGTTAGCTAATGTTATGTTGATTTAAACGCTAGCTAGCTAGCTAGTACATGGCTTATCTAAATACAGGAAAGGAGAAAGTTGACCAAGATTCTCACTGAGGCAAATTAGAGCCAAATCATTACACGGAAATAATTTAGTTGTAAATGCAGTCTGTTTGTTCACGGTGTAGGTAGCAACCTAATGGCGGAGGGTGGGAAAAACATTAACATTCTGTTTTTTTATCAGCTCAAAATTGTTAACTATAAGAAGATCCAGTGAAAGTGCGGGCCACTGAGACAAGGCTGTAATTTAATTTCATGCCTTAAATAGAATAAACTGAAGTTGTTTGCTCTGCCGTCTCCCCCGGCAGATTTAAAATGCAACAAGAATGCAAACATGTAACAACAGTACTCATTGTTCAGTGCTTGTCATTCTCTCACACTGTGTTTTACATTGTGCACTGTTCATGTGATTGTGTCCGTCCCCTATTGAATGATACATGAGCAGGGAACTACATTTCTAAGTTATTGTTTTAGTCCTACATTTCTCCGCAGACAGTCTGTGTGGATGTGAAACTGTTGTCCAGTCCTGATGCTTGTGTGTGTCTTCCACAGGTTGGTGAGATCTTCTCTGCGGCTGGTGCTGCCTTCACCAAACTAGGTGAGCTCACCATGCAGCTCCACCCAGTGGCAGACTCCAGTCCCACAGGGTAACATTTCAACCTTTTAAGTGGGTTTCTGGGAAGAATCTGTATTGAAAAAGTAGAAAAGATACATTCCTGCACACACTGTCTAACTTGCAAAACATTTATTAGCAATGTTTCGGTCCTAGACCTTAATCAGACAAAATGGGTCATGATAATGAGAAGCCATCTTAAAAAGGGAGTGGCAAAATAATAATATAAAATATATAATATATAAAAATAACTGCAAAAAATCATTCATTCCCCACCTGCAGAATCTGTATTGACCATGCTTTAACAACTACAAAACTAAATATCATATCATATCATCATACTTTTTTGACATAAAATAAGTCTTAAGTTGTATTCCTAATGGTCCTAAAAAGTCTTAAATAGAACCTGTTGAAACGTGCAGAAAGCCTAGCTGTAAATCTGAACATATTCATAAAGAAGAATGCTGCTGCTAATCTGATATGAATACTAAAGTCAGTATAGTTCCCATCTTCCCTCTAGCGGCCAGACAAAGAGCACAGTGAAAAGGAAGCTATACGAGGACGGCGCTCTGCCCGCCACCTCTGACAGCTCGAAGAAGGTCGCCAAGAAAACCACCACTCCTGTAGCCATGGAAACGCAGGGCACTCCAACCATAATATCCGTGCCCACTCAGGTCGTTATGGCGTCAGGACTACAGGGTTCCCCCTCCAGCCACCCCCCCCTGAAGAAACAGAAGACTGCAGGTGAGTAAGGAAAAGGTGTAATTAAACATGGAACTCCTGTAGTATCAGGGTAAATAAAAAGAGGAGAATCCACACACTCTTTCTACTACTCTCCCACTATA